ATTGCCAGGGCTACACACAGAGAAACCCTGCCTTGAAAAAAACCAAACCAAACCAACCAACAAACAAACAAACAAAAAAACCCTTAAAAATGCCAAGCACTTGGCAGAGGTGGTAGTGGAAATCAGGGCATTGTTTCTTGAGAAACTAAACTATCTTCAGTAGATAAATAAGACTTTAAGTAGAAGAGGATGTTTCTGACCAGGAGAGTATTCCCAAAGCCTGAAAACCAGGGAGAGAAGAGGTAAACTATATACAAATGGCTGGTGCATAAAAATACAAGGGAAATGACTGAAGATGTTAGGGAGGCACGAACCAGGCAGATCTTAACCATGGAAAAGAATTTTTCTGAGGGTAGTGGGAGAGCTATGTAAATACTTGTTTGGAAATAATATATAATCAAGGTTGTAATTAGAAAAGTCTGGATGAAGTATGAAACACAGAACAGAGATGGCTGAGTACAGCAGCAGGTAGATGACTGGTTGGAGTAATTCAGGCAGAAGATGAGGCTGATCTGATCTAAAGAAGAGATGACAGGCCCAGTGTAGTGGTACACACTTGTAATCCCAGCACTTGAGAAGAGGAGGCAGCAGAATCACCTCAAGTTCAAGGCTGTTTGGGCTACATAGCAAGTTCCAGGAAGTTGGAGCCATGTAGTGAGAGCCTATCAAAACAACAGTGGGGCCTGGAGAGATGGTTCTGTGATTAAGAGCACTGACTGCTCTTCCAGAGAACCCGAGTTCAATTCTCAGCAACTGTATGGCATCTTACAACTGTCTGTAACTCCAGTTTCAGGGGATCTAACACCCTCACACCAATGCACATTAAGTAAAATTAAATAAATTATTTTAAAAAACCAACAAGAGTAGTAGCATCAACACTAACAACAAAAGAAGACCCCCCCCAAAAAAATAGAAATTGACAACAATGTGGAGAAAGTGAATAGTTGACAAATTTGAGAATTACTAAGTTGACTGAACAAAGAAATAAGAAAGAAGGCAGAGTTGAGTCATACATTTTCAGATTGAGTGATTTAAGTATTTGATGATGTCATTCGCTAAAAAATAAGTTGGAGGGGAAAGAATTGACATTTGGATGTGCTAAGAACATCAAAATGGGAATTGTCAAATGGACAGAATTATAGGTCAATAATCCAGAGTGACCTGGGCTGGGAATATACATATAAAATTATTAGAATAGTAGTAATTGAGATAATGCGAGTATATTTGTTTGTAATAGAAGACACTAGGACAGAAGCTTGAGGAATACCAAAATGGCAGGAAGAAAATAGGAGAAAAGACTGGAGGACAGTGGGAGGGGACTGTGAGTCTGGAGAAGCACTTGAGGGGAGACTACTGCATTAGACTAGTAGGTGTTTTGTTTTTAAAGCAAACATGCTTTGTTACGTTTAGTGAAGTATATGTCAAAAAGTGTTCCAAGTAACGTATTAATTTAATAAATTTAACTTGAAATAACTGTGGGGTAGTCACTGTTACATTTTTTGTTGTGCAGATGGAGAAATTGAGACATATATCTTGTCCAAGGTTGCATAGAGAATTGCACACTGAGATGGGATCTTAGGCAGTTTTGTTTTAGAAAGTCCATATGTTTCACTCCTGTCCTATGTTACTATTCCAGATGTACACTGAACAAGACCTGAAAAGTTGGATCTATGTTTATGTTTACAAAAAAGAAATCAGACTGCGGAGGAATTAATTTAACCAGAGTTATACAACTGTTAGGTAGTAGAATCCAAATTTGAACACAGATTTCTTAATTCCAAAGACTATTTCTTTCCTTCTTTCTTTCTTTCTTTCTTTCTTTCTTTCTTTCTTTCTTTCTTTCTTTCTTTCTTTCTTTCTTTCTTTCTCTCTCTCTCTCTCTCTCTCTCTCTCTCTCTCTCTCTCTCTCTCTTTCTTTCTTTCTTTCTTTTTTTTTGTTTTTGAGACAGGGTTTCTCTGTGTAGCTTTGGAGCCTGTCCTGGATCTCACTCTGTAGACCAGGGTGGCCTCGAACTCACTATGAGATCCTCCTGCCTCTGCCTTCCAAGTGCTGGGATTAAGGGCGTGTGCCACCACCACTGGGCCCAAAGTCTATTTCTGCTAGATTGTACTGTTGGTTACTTTTTCTTATATATCCATTTGTGTTGTATAAAATTTAATTTTACTTGTTTTATAAAAATTTTTTCCTTTCTCAGATGCAATAGCCCTGGATTATTGGTTTTCAGGGATATTAATTTAATCTGGACCATTCATATATTCTAAAAATACAGGTGCATAATAGTGCATGGTGATCTAATAAACTGATGGCTGTTTTTAGTCTTGATTCTCTAAACATGCCATGAGAAATATATTATAATCATAAATAAATTGTCTAAAATCCTACCAATATAGAAAGTGATTTAAAAAAATATTACTCATATTTCTTGCTTCCCTTGTAGGAGGTTATATTCTACTGAGTTAGAACTGGAACTTAAGCCCCTATACCTACCTTTCTTTTCCTTCCTTCTTTCTTTTTTTAAAAGATGTATTTATTTATGTGTATGAGTGCTCTATTTCCATGTATGCATACATGATATTATAGACAGTTGGGAGCCATTATGTGGGTGCAGGAATTGAACCCTGGCCCTCTGAAAGAGCAGCCAGTACCCTTAAAAATACTGAGGCATCTCTCAAGCCTGCCTTCCTTATTTCTTAAAATGTAAGGGAGGCAACAGATGTGTTGGGTCAGATTGACAGTTACATTCTGAAGACAACAAAAGAAGACAGCGTTTAAGAACTACTCAGGAACCATTAGGTCAATTTCAGTCTATATAAAAATATTGTAATAGTGTCCCCTAGTGCTGTTTTGAAGAAATAATTTAAGAGAAATTCAATAGTATCTGCTTATAGTCTCTATCACCACCTTGTGGCACTGTCTTAAATATTTCTAACCTCTTGCAAAAATCTTCCAGAATCTTGCCTTAGTTGCTAATATAATAGGTAACAGATTTCCCTGGGTGAGCCAGAGTAGAATTTCTTTAAATGGTTATTGCAAATAAGACCCCGATTGAAATAATATTAAGGCCTTCAGAAAGAAAATGGAAGATTTACTTTAAAAAAATTCCACTGAAGCAAAAAAGGTGAAAAGTATACTTTTTTTTTTTGGTTTTTTTGAGACAGGGTTTCTCTGTGTAGCTTTGCGCCTTTTCCTGGAACTCACTTGGTAGGCCAGGCTGGCCTCGAACTCACAGAGATCCACCTGGCTCTGCCTCCCGAGTGCTGGGATTAAAGGTGTGTGCCACCACCGCCCGGCCTGAAAAGTATACTTTTAATACATAACTTTTAAAACTTTTTAAAAAGGTAATTTAGTCTTTGAGTATAATTTTGGGTTTCCCCTCAACTCTGTCAACTTTTTAATTGTGATTTATTATGCATAATGTTAAACTAATCATGTCAGCCATTCTCAATGTATAATCTAGTAATGCTCACTGTTATGTGACAGATGCCAGCCATTTACCATTTCCAAAACATTTCATCATAGTGAATAGAAACTATTGAACTCTGTTCCTCCTATCCCCACCCCAGTCCTGATAACCTCTGTTCTACTTTTTGTCTGCATATGTTTGCCTAATTTATTGTAGATATTCATATGTGAGAGCATATATTTGTCCTTCTCTAACTTTGCTTTGCTTTTTTTTTTAAACATAGTATTGTGCTTGCAGAGGTTCATTTACATTGTGTCGTGCTACCAAAATTTCATCCTCTTCTAAAGATTGAGTAGCCCTTATGTATGTATATCATATTTTTGTTTATCCATTCATCTACCCCCCTACTTTTAAGATGAGAACTTGGCCGGGCGGTGGTGGCGCACGCCTTTAATCCCAGCACTTGGGAGGCAGAGGCAGGCGGATCTCTGTGAGTTCGAGGCCAGCCTGGCCTACCAAGTGAGTTCCAGGAAAAGGCGCAAAGCTACACAGAGAAACCCTGTCTCGAAAAACCAAAAAAAAAAAAAAAAAAAAAAAAAAAACGATGAGAACTTGCTACATTGTCCAGGCTGACCTCAAACTCCTGGGCTCAGATGATTGCCTTGCTTTAGCTCCCAGTGTAGCTGGACCTGGCTGTTTGTCCGTTTGTCTGTTGACAGACATTTGGATTGTTTCCACCTTTTGACTGTGATGAAGAATGCCGCTATGAGAATTGATGTACAAGTATTTGAGGCCCTCCCTGCTTCTTCCCGTCCTTGGTTATTTCTTTAGGCTATATACTTAGAAGTGGTAATGCTGAATACTAGGTAATTTGTTTAAGAATTTGAGGAACTTGATACTGTTTTCCACAGTGACTGGGCTGCTTCACACCTGAGCTAGCGGGGCATAAGGGTTTCATTCTCCGCCTCTTTGCTAACACTTACTCTTTTCCTTTTCTGAATGGGTTTTGAGTTTGTAAACAAATCAGAAGTTAGTCTAAGAAGTGTTTTTGAGCCCAGCTATACCCAAGGACAGTTAAGGGAATGAGATATATTGTTGAGTCTTTAGGGGACTTATAACTTATTTTCTTCTGAGAATGTGTTTATGAATGAGTAGATCTTACAATTTTTTGGGGGTGGTTGAAAAATTAATACAAAGACTTCATACCAGATTTAGAAGAAGCTTGTAGTGAAAACTTACATGGTTGTTAAGATTACTTGCCAAAATTACCGTTAATTTATATAGTTCTCATTTGGAAAATTCAAAATAAGAATTTTTATAATTCAGATTCATTTTTATAATTTTTGATAGGGCCAGGTGGAACTATTTTAGCTTCATTCTCCCTTTGTGTTTTCAAAATTGAGCTTGGTAAATTTCTCATGAAACAGGATAGTCTGGGAAATAGTCTATACTTAACCTTACTTGACTTTAAGTTTTGACTTTAGAATCCAGTTCCATCTTTGCAAAGACAAGATAGGAAGTATTATGTCAGGCCAAATCTCTAATGAATTTTTTAACAGGTTAGAACTGTTGAAAGAACCCTGACTCAGTCTCATGATGACCACTGCTCAGCTCTCCCGAGACACCAGAACACTAAAGGCATCTAAGGTATTTGTTAAGAATTCAAAGAAAATCAATGACCATTTAGTGAGTTACTTAATTTGAAATTTCCTTAGCAGCAGTTTTATCAGTTAATTGGCACATAATACTCTGAGAAAGTATGTCTATGTTTTAATGCCTGATGGACTGGGAATATTCGGAAAATTAAGACCAATTACAGAGTTACTTACTGGGTGCTTGTTTCATGTTTACTAGAGTAAAAGAAATCAGAAACAAAGAGCTATTTAAAGAGAATGGTCCTTTGTTAGACATCTACTTCCTGAAGCAATTAGGAAACTTGTGATGTAATTTTCAGAACTGAAGAGAGCACTGAGAGAAGCTTTGATGCTAAGAATCTGGGGGAGAATGTGTTAGTCACTTCCTGTGTGGTGACAACATATGAGATAATAAACTTAAGAGGAAGAAGCATTTATTTTGGCTCACAGTTTCAGAAGTTGATTCTATTGTTTTTGACTCAGTATCAAGGCAGAACATCATGGGGATCCGCTGGGCAAAAATACAGTAGAGCAAAGTGGCACACTGTGGTGGCCAGGACCAGGAGTGGGGGTGGGAGGAGACACACTTGACAATCTAATGTCATCCCATTAGATTCTACTGCCTAAAAGTTCTACCATCTCTCAATAGTGCAACAGGTTGGTGACCATGTCTTCAACTTTGGGGGGCATTTACGATTCAGACACAACAGGCTACAGTATGTCAGGCCAGGAAACATTGCTGGATTTACCCAGGCTAGTTCAGCATATCCCAGAATAGTCATTAATTCATCATTTATTTATTTAGGTTCAATATATTATATAATATAATATATATTATATATATATTATATTATATATAAAACAATGTGTTTTATGAGAAAATACAAATTATATTCTTAAAAGTTTGTAATCTAAGAAAAATAAGATTTATGGTAATTAAGTTAATACACATATATGTATAAATATTTACATATATGTGAAAAAGAGTGAAAGACTGAGGCCAGGAGAATTGTTACAAGCTTGAGACCAGCTTTGCTACATAATGAGTTCCAGGTCACCTTAAGCTAGTTTGAGATGCTGTCTCCACCTCGAAAACCACAAAAGAATACAATAATTCAAACTAGCAATTTAGGGATTTTTGTATACTCTGAAATGATGAAAAAGCTCATAGAGGAGAGAGAATTTCATGAGGAAACCTAGCCTATGCCTTGGCTCAGAATAAGAAATAAGCATGTCATTTTTAGGGAGAGCTGCTTTTTCTGTAGTAAAACTCTCATGTTGGCCAGCAGAAGAAAACAAAATGGAATAGGAAATTGGGGAACAGATTAATTTGGATCTTAAAAGCCAGGCTAGAGAATTGATGCTTTTTATTCAGCCAGTGCCAGGTCAGAAGGTTAGTTTGATTGGAAGAGTGAGTACAGTACTTGTTTTAGGAGTATTAAATTATAGCAGAGAGAGAGAAAAGTTTGACGTTGAAGGAGAAATCAGGCATAAAGCAAGCAGTCATCTTTCTGGCTTTGTTTCAGCGTACTCCCCAAGCCAACACCTAATCTCATCTAAGTGTGTGCTCCCTCCTGGGGGAAACGTTGACCCGGATGTGTGAACTGCAGTCAGCATGGCAGGCATTTTTCTCACCGTAAATGAACAAATTGACTTTTGCTTCAACCTTACCTTTGTTTGGGTTCCTTGAACTGCTTTTCCCAGCAAATTTCAAGTGACAGTGCAGTTTTGTTATCTAATAATACAAACTGATAATAACCACAGAAGTCAATATTTATTCAGCACTTAACTATGTGTCAGGCATTGTGCCAAGGTCATTATGTTATTATTTCAATTAAACCTCTCAGTACGGAAGAAACTGAGCAGGGCGGTGGTGGTGCACACCTTTTATTTATCCCAGCGCTCAGGAGGCAGAGGCAGGAGGATCTCTGAGTTTGAGGCCAGCCTGATCTACAGAGTGAGTTCCAGGACAGCCAGGGCTACACAGAGAAACCCTGTCTAAAAAAAAAGGAAAGAAAGAAAAGGGAAGAAAGAAAGAAGGAAAAGAGAAGAGACGAGAAAAGAAAAAACTAAAGCTTGGAAAAGTAAAGTAAGCAGCTCAAGGTCATAGAACTTAACAGTTAAATTGTCAGCAGCAGCATGCTTTACTACCAGAACGTGAAAATGCCTTCTATTTCAAGCTATGGTATGTCCATATATTAGATATTTAGAAAAATATCACCGGTAACGTTTAAGCTATTAGACTAGCTGAGCTAAGGAGAAAAACCCTGGAGTAACAAAACTGTGGAGGCTTTTCCAGTCATGGATCTTTGTTACTACGAATAGCCTTTTAGTACCTGTATTTAATGTCTTTATACTTCCAAGTTATTTAGCTTTACAAATGAGTTATTCATATATTGCCTTGCCATTCTGGAATGTTTTTAGTGAGTTATTACATGCATTCCATGTCAGCTATTACCCAGTAACTCAAGGAAACCCTAACCTCTCAGGATCTACAGGTTCAAAACCCAAATTTTCTTTTTACTTTTTAGAAGTACACAGTCCAAGCTTACTATGTAGTTCAGGTTGGCCATGAGCTTACAGTACTTCTGCTGGATTGCAGGTGTGAATAACCATTCCTGGCCTCAAAAAAAAATTTAAATACCTTTAAAATAACTGAATATAATGTTATTTGACAAAAATATAAAGTGATAACTCATTGTCATTATATAGACTACTAAAGAAGATACATTCTTACACATGGCAAAATCATATCTAGAATGTCCAGAAGATGTTCTAGGACAGTGTGTGTGTGTGTGTGTGTGTGTTGTCTGTTTGTCTCTGTGTGCACCGTATGTGTGTACTTTTTGGAAGTTCTTTTTCATCTGAAGATGTTTGTGGGTCGTAACTACCTCTAAGTAACTTTATTAGAATTATTAGAAGTCCAGCAGTTGAACTGTATAATATAGTGAAAGGACACTTGTAACTTGTTAGCTTTATGATCTGGCAAATCACTTATCTTTCTAGATTTCCCTTTAGTGCCTGTGTCTTGAGTACATTGACTTAAATGAGTTCTAAAGTCTTTCCAATTAAAAATACTGTGCAAAGCTCCCCCAAATTAGATTAAATTGACTTTAATGAATGTCTTTGTTACTTTTCTGTTGCCATGATAAGACACCATGACCAAGGCAGCTTACAGAAGGAAGAGTGTTGTAGCGGGGGCTTAGAGTTTCAGAGTGTGAGTCTGACCATCATGGCTTGGAACATGTCAACGAGTAGGCAGGCATGGCACTGGAGCAGTAGCTGAGAATGTACATTCTGATCCATGAGAGAGAGAGAGAGAGAGAGAGAGAGAGAGAGAGAGAGAGAGAGAGAGAGAGAGAAAGATGTACTCTTAACTGGGAATGGCCATAGGCTTTTGAAACCTCACAGACCACCCTCAGTGATGCAATTCCTTCAACTGGGGACAAAGATTTCAAACATATGAGCCTATGGGGGCATTCTCATTCAAACCACCACAATGAGAAAAGAGAAACTTGGAAAAAAGGTTTTATTATATTAATTTATTTATTAATTTGATTTATTTATTATGTATCTGTGCACATGCTTATTTATATGTGTGCCTGGTGTGCTGGCTATTATGTCAACTTGTCACAAGTTAGAGTCATCAGAGAGTAGGGAGCCTCAATTAAGAAAATGCCTCTAGCTGGGGGGTGGCGGGGGTGACGGGGGTGGCTCACACCTTTAATCCTAGCACTCTGGAGACAGAGCTAGGTGGATCTCTGAGTTCAAGACCAGCCTGGTCTACAGAGTGAGTTCCAGGACAGCCAGGGCTACACAGCAAAATTCTGCCTCAAAAAACAAAACAGAGGAGGAGGAGGAGGATGCCGGGAAGAAAGGAGGAGAAGGAAAGCAGCAGTATCTATAAAATTGGGTTGTAGGCAGGCCTTAGTTAGTAGGCATTTTCTTAATGAGTGTTTGATGGGGGAGGTTCTTTAAGAAAGCAGGCTGAGCCAGTAAGCATCACCCCTCTACGACCTCTGCATCAACTCCTGCTTCCAGGTTCCTGCCCTGCTGGAGTTCCTGTTCTGACTTCCTTCAGTGATGAGCAGTGATGTGGAAGCATAATTCAAATAAACCCTTTTCTCCCCATGTTGGATTTGGTCATGGTGTTTCATCACAGAAGTAGAAACTCTAACTAAGAAATTGAGTGTGGAGGGTGAGCAGTGTGCCGTGTGTGTTTGCATAGGTCAGTTGCCGGCTTGCATTGGTGGTGGATTTCTTTTCACTTGGTGGGTCCTAGGGATGGAGCTAAGGCCATAAGGCTTGGTGTCCTTACATAGGAACCATCTTGCTGGCCTGGAAAGAGAAATTCTAGCCTGTTTATTTCTAAGGTTCTGACTACATCAGTGTAGTCTCATTCCAGTAAGGAGGGAAAGCCTATTCTGTCACTACATTTTGGAATTTTCCTGACTTAACCAAATACAGTTTATCATTTGGAGATTTGCTTTCAACAAAAACTTCTAAGGATGACTTGGTCTTAAAAAAAGAACTTTGTGAGCTTTTTAGGAGTAGTACTTGGTTGTTCATAATCTTGGCAGGGCTCAGCACTCCTCTAAAATATTTCTGGTAGTCCCGGAGACAGAATAAAAAACCCCACAAATATTTAATTAAAGAGGAAAATTATTATCAAACTTTGCTGGCTTTCCTCTTGCTTTAAAGACTAAATACAGCCGGGCGGTGGTGGCGTACGCCTTTAATCCCAGCACTCGGGAGGCAGAGGCAGGCAGATCTCTGTGAGTTCGAGGCCAGCCTGGGCTACCAAGTGAGTCCCAGGAAAGGCGCAAAGCTACAGAGAAACCCTGTCTCGAAAAACCAAAAAAAAAAAAAAAAAAAAAAAAAAAAATACAGCTCCTTTAACATGGTGCCCTAGATGTGCTGCACATGGACTTCGGTTTGAGCCTCTCTCAGTGCTGCCCTTCTTAACCTCTCAGCAGCGCTTATACTGAGCTGACAGTCATGCCCCTGCTGTGTCCCAGCGCTCCTGCCCTCTTGCCTGTACTAGGAACAGTTTCTCTTCTTCGCCACTTGTTTGTAGGGCTCTGCCGAGTTTCCCTTTCCCACAGCCCTCCTCCTCAGGTAACCACTGCTCTGTCTTACATGCACAGCCTCTAGTGTTGCTCCAGTAATCTGATACCCAGTCTGTGTTCGGTTAGTCAAAAACTGTTCTTTGGGAACAAGACTTTTACCAAGTCTTTTCTCTCTCTCCACTTGGGCTGTAAATTCCATTAGAGTACGTATGTACTCTTTTGGTTTTCTTCTTTTACTATTTTTTTCCAGACAGGATTTCTCTGTGTAGCCCTGGCTGTCCTGGAATTTGCTTTGTAATTGATGTTTTACAAATTAACAGAGTAATATTGTTTACATAACAAGTGAAACAACACACATGCACACAGGCACAAACCAAAAAAAACAATAGTGATAGGGACCATAGAAACATTTTATAGACTTCCGCCTATTTAGTCCTCAATCAAGTAGGTCTTACTGTTACCCCTATTTACAGATGAAGGCACTGAGGTACTAGAGAGATGGAGTAATGCAGAATCAGGTACCTGTAACAATTTATTAGCAAAGGAGTTTTATTGTAACACATTTGCCTGTTTATGATGTCTGTGTCTTCTTTCATGTTGCAGTGGCAGAATGAACTGTAAAACCTAAAATACTCCCTATCTGGGCATCTACTAGAAAAGGTTGCTGACCTCTGCCCAAATCCTAAGTCATGGTAGTAAAGAATAATGATTTGAACCTGGCTGGTGGGATGCCGAGTCTGTGTCCTTAACCTCTTCATCACAGCGCCCCCCTCTTACCAGTCTACCCTCAAGCCACTCTCAAGTCACCAGAGCCGTGAACTGTACATTCTGCAAGCACGAAGACCTGAGTTTGATCCGGGGCATTGTGCGCACTTGTAGTCCCAGCACTGGTGAGGTGGAGGAGACAGGTGATCGCTGGTGCTTGCTGGCCAGGCAGTAACCTAATTAGTGAATCCAGGGCAGTTGAGAGACCCTGTCTCAAAAAACAAAGTGATAGCACCTGTTCATAATAGCTTAAGGGTGGCCTTTGGTGTCCACTTACATGTGTACATACATGGTTGTATACCCACACATTTGTGTACCTACACACACAGGAGCATACACATAGCACACAGAGAACTTTTCTTGCTTCTTTTCATGCTTTTTAAAATTATTTATAAAAAGAGACAGTCTGATGTTTAGATATGGCACATGATAGAGGGAGAAAAGCCACAGGTGAATGAAGTTGCTAGTGTGGTAACTGGAATAGATGATAATTTACTTGTCTAGGAATGAAACTGGGGACCATTCTTTAAGTAGGGTGGCAGAGATAACTGAATTTCAGGGTGTGCAAAGTAGTATAGGAACAGCTGCCCAGCTATTAGAAGTGTAGGCAGAGAACATAAGTTGGAAATTGAAGTCTTCTCTATAGGCTGTAAACTGAAGCTGTGAGGATAAACAAGATTATCCAAGAGAACTGTGAATAGAGAAAAGGATTGAAAGCAGACTCCAGGGGAGGACAACTGGTTAAAAAATAAAGAGAAATGGACCGGGTGTGGTGGTGCACCCTTCAATCCCAGCACTTGGGAGGTAGAGACAGGAGGATTTCTGTGAGTTGGAGGTCAGCCCGGTCTACAGAGTGAGTTCCAGGACGGCCAGGACTACACAGAGAAACCCTGTTCAGACAAACAAGACTCATGCATTGGGGTGGGGTCAGGTGTGTAGGGATGGATGAACGCTGAAATGGTGTTAGGAGGTAGGAGTTTAGCTCAGTAACTGAAGTTTTTGCTCAACACAGAACAAGTCCTAGGTTCGATTCCTGGTTTGGCCAAAACAACAAAATAGTGTTAAGACAACTTGAGGGAGAAATACGGATCCAGTGTCAAACGCTGCAGAGAAGGTACATATTGATGAGGGATGAGAAGAAGCAGTGGTGAGACAGATGTACATAGTGACTTTGAAGAGAGCAGTGGAAATAAACAAGAGTAAGATTCAGATTCCAGAGAAGTCTGAGGCGAGTGTGAAGAGAGGAATGAGGTTATATAATTAGACTTCCAGTTTTGCCTCAGATCAATGGGTCATTGAAATAAATTGTTTTAGTCCTGAATTACTTGAGTAATTGCCTGCCTTTCTGTTCTACCTTGCTTGTGTGAAGATCTGTTTTAACACAGTATACAGAGCCCTGTTTTCTTTTGATTACCTATAAATGTATTAGATTTGAAGTCTTAAAAAGTCTTTCCATCCTTCTGCGGTAGTTGTTGGTGAGCTGAATATATTCATGAATACTGATTTTTTTTCATCTATTTTTTTCTTCCAGAGCACAATTTTCCCATCCCAAATCACTAATGAGCATGAGTCACTGGTAATGGTGAAGAAACTTTTTGCTACTTCTATCTCATGTATAACATATTTGAGGGGCCTGTTTCCAGAGAGCTCTTACAGAGATCGCCATTTAGATGGTAAAGTTGAGTTAAATGATTGCTTTGGCTAGTGTCCCTTTTCTGCTTAGCAGGAGGAAAGCTTTCCCCTTTCACAGAGTGCATTAATTCTAACTCAGGGGCATGTTCTTCAGGATCAATTTACTAATCCATTTTCCATTTTAATTTTGCTATGTGTATTGGTTTTATTTATAGGAGCCATTCACTTCCAGCTAGTTATCAAATGAAAAAGGAAACTTGTAGAGCTAAGTCTAGTAATTGTACGCCATCCCTATAAAAGCCAGAACAAAAATCTATCTTAATGGTGAAGATTTACATTATTATGTGCCTCAGTTGAATTTGTTCTTTGAGGTACACATTTTGACCTTGAGGAAGTTCAAAGGAATCAGGTGAGAAACTTCTCCCTATTAACATATAAATATGCCTGGGAGAGGCAAATCCATTTGTTGATTAGCAGGGATATTTAGACAGTTATTTTAATCAGTTCTGTTCTTTTTACAATAGCCAGTCCTGCCTCTTCATTTTATTGTTATTAGTGTGTGTGTGTGTGTGTGTGTGTGTGTGTGTGTGTGTGTGTGTGTGTTTAATGCATAGATATGTGTGGCCGTGTAGGTCAGAGGACCAGTTTTAGTCAGTTCTGCCCTTTCATTATGGTTTTCCCAGGAGTGATCTCAGGTCTTTAGACCTGTGTAGCAAGCATTTTTACTCACTGAGCCATCTCACTGGCCGCAAGTTCTTCAACTCTTACTTTTTCTGTCTCTTTGTGACCTTAAATTTACCATATTATGACTTTATATAACAAGCTGTATCTTGCTCCTTAGAAGAAATTGTACCAGGGGCTCTTCAGTTTTTCAAAATCTTATGATTTGTTTGAAAAGTTGAGTTGTGGGTCACATGTAATGGTGTATATCTTTAATCCCAGTACCCAGGAATAGGCAGGAAGAGCTCTGAGTTCACCTCCAGACTGGTTGATGTAGAGAATTCTAGCTGAGCCAGGGCAACATAGTATGTCCCTGTCTTAAAAAGCCAAATCAAGCTAGGCGAGCACTAGCACTCTGGAGGCAGGTGGATCTCTGTAAGTTCTAGGCCAGCCTGGTCTACAAAGTGAATTATGGGACAGTCAGAGCTATCTTGGGAAAACAAACAAAACAAAAACAAAAACCCAAGTCAAAACAAAACAAAAAACTAGCAAGATGGTTCAGTCAGTAAAGGTGTTTGCCATCAAGCCTGGTAACCTGAGTTCAGTTTCCAGAACCCACATAGTGGAAGGAGAAAACCAGCTCTCCGAGTTGTCCTCCTTCCTCTACATGTGCTGTAGCACAAACTGGTGAGGTTGGAGAGATGGCTCCATAGTTAAAAGCCCTGACTGCTCTTCCAGAGGACCCGGTTCAAATTCTAGCACCTACATGGTGCGTCACAACCATCTTTAACTCTAGTTCCAGGGGATGCAACTCTCTTTTCTGGCTTCTCTAGGCACCAGACCACACAGTGCACAGACATACATGCAAGCAAGACATCCATACACATAATAAAAGTAAAATAAACTTTGTTTTTAGTTTTGTTGATTAATCACTAAAATGGAAACTTATCATTTGGGAAATAAATATAGAGAACCACACATTTCCTTTTAAAATGCTATTTTTCCAAATCTAATTGGAAATTTCTCGTGTTTATATTTAATAATACACCATGGCTTCATTTCAGTGTTATTTTCTTAAGCAATATTGATTCTCCAAATGAACATCAGTGAAATGTGTGTTTGCTATAAACACATAAGCATGGTACTTGTAATCATGGCACCTTTCTTTGTGTTAATGACTTCTTTTAACTTACGGGATAGATCTATAAGATTTAATGTGTTTACAGGTAGCATATAATTAGTTTCTCCTCCTGTTTGGAACATAGAATTATAAAAGAAGACATGCTTTGGTAAATTAAATGCTTGTTATGTCATTACTACTGCTGACATAAAAAACACAGGTCTTACCTCAAAAGGTAAAAGAGATAGTTTATTTTAGAGCCAAGTGTGAGTAACACAGATTTAGATTGCTGCCAAACCCAAATCCATGTTCCAGTGTGGAAGTAGTTTCATGAAGTTCTCTTAGTAACAGAAGAAAGAAAGTCATAAATCAAGACACTTTCAAACACCTTGGTGGTAGGGGGGTATAGCAAAGTAGGGAAATCTCTGCTGTCAGCCTCAGGTGCTGTCTGCTGACATTTTCAGCTTTTGTGTTAGTGTAAGCTAGAGAGTCTGTTGGTATATTCCAGAAAGACTCACCTAATATACCCAAGGGCATTAGCTCATAAACTGAGGTTAGGCAATAAATGGCTATTAAGGGGACTAGAGATAGCACAAGATATTTGTAGTTAGGCTCTGGACCTTCAACATTCCAACCTTTCCACAATCATTGAAGTTTTAATTAGTCAGCCTTATAAAGTACACCTTCTTTCTAGGAACATTGGCTCACACTGCCATAGGCATGGTGGCAAAACCATTGTTCATAGTTTCATTTTTTTGTGACTGTTAATAGAAGTCAGTCTCCCTCAATGTATTTGCATTTAAAGTGACATGTCACAAAAATGTTCAATTGTAGGTGGAGTTTTTCATTGGGACTGCTGGCCAGCTCCCAAATAAGCACACAGAGACTTATTAATTATAAATGCTCAGCGTATAGCTTAGGCTTATTGCTAACTAGATTTCAATTTAGCCTATATTTCTTAACTGTGCTCTTCCATGTGGTGGTACCTTTTTTCAGCACGGCATGTTCATTTTGCTTTTCTCTGCCCTCCTTCTTCCCTGCACTCTCTTTGTCTGCAAGTCCTGCCTAACTTGCCCAGCTATTGAGCAGTCAGCTCTTTATTAACCAGAGAGTAATACTTACTCAGTGTAGAGAAAGATTGTTCACAGCATGTGATATTTGTTTTTTGTTTTGTTTTTGTTTTTCGAGACAGGGTTTCTCTGTGTAGCTTTGCGCCTTTCCTGGATCTCACTCTATAGACCAGGCTGGGCTCGAACTCACAGATCCGCCTGGCTCTGCCTCCCGAGTGCTGGGATTAAAAGTGTGCGCCACCCCCCCACCCCCCACCCCCCGTCAGCATGCGATATTTGTATGGTACTCTACTTTTTAATAATTTCTAAGTATTTTGAATTATTTTCTAAATAATTCTAAGTAATTAGAATAATTTTCATATCCCCCAACAATAGTGGAAGTGATGTTAACTTTAGCATCAGAAAACAGTATGAAAAGATGAAAGACTCTCGTCTGAGAGCTGGTGAGATGGCTCAGCAGGTAGAAAGGTACTTGCTGCCAAAGGTAATGCTATGAGTTCAATCCCTGAGACCCACACAGCATAGGAGAGACTCCTCCAAGTTGTCTTGTAACTGTTACACATGCAGTGTGGCACATTAACTCATAAATTAATAAATATTTCAAAATTCAAGACGTTCCTATTAAATCATACATGAGTCAATGATTTTATACTGATTTCAACCCAAAATTATAATATCTTCCTTTTCTTCCCTAATATAGAGAAGTAGTTAGATTTCACATGGAAATGTTTGAGAATAATTTATACATTTGTGTTTAATTTTTTTTCATTGAGAGGGAAAGAAATAAGAATTAAATTGGGACTGTTTTTAAATTGTCACTTGAGATGATCTCAGTGACACCTTAGATTACTTAGAAGGAAACAAAGAAGTAATAGAAACCAACTTTGCAATAAACGCAGCTGGGTTACACTGTAGAATAGGAAGTCTGCCAAACTGCCTCCGAAATTAGGACTGAGATAATTATCAACATGGAATTTATTTTTAAAGTAGGTATTTAGAAGTTTAAAAATGTGCCAGGTGGTGGTGACGAACACCTTTAATCCCAGCATTCAGGAGGCAGAGGCAAGTGGATCTCTGTGAGTTCGAGGCCAGCCTGGTCTACAGAGCTAGTTCCACGACAGCCAGGGCTACACAGAGAAACCCTGTCTCGAACCCTCACCTGCCTCCCCGCAAAAAAACGAAAGAAAATGCAAGAAATGCTCTATTTGACATGAATTTTTCAGTACAACAGTTGTGTTTCTATATTTTTAGACCTCAGTTTAAAAATTCTCCGGGAAGACAAAAAGTGTCCTGGGTCATTACATATTATTAAATGGTAAGTAAATTTTGTAAAATTAAAACAACATTTTTGTCATGACTGAAATAACCCGTAAAACTATTTTGTAAAATCATTTCCTTAAACCACTTTCCTTAGTCCTCTTTCCTGGAAATTGTAGCAATTATTCAGTGTTATTTTAAACTATTGATTTCGTTTTAGAAGAAAATGGGCTTGTCTAGAGAAAACAATTCTACATTTGATTGTTCTTCATATGCATATCTGTACTAACATTGTGGTGAGGGGAAGAGAAAACACACTCTGCGCTTCAGAACTGCTTGTTTATTTTTATAACACTCCATAAATATATGGAAAGATGTTGGGAGTTTTAAAAGATGATTAAACAGAACAGACAAAATGATTGTTAATTTATATACTTCAAAATAGAAGTGTAAACTAATTATATACTTGGGCTTATTTTTTGGCTATTCATGTGGTCCAAAGTGACATTGAATATTTATTTCTTAACAGGATTCAAGGTTGTTTTGATGCTTTGGAAAAGAGATACGTAAGAATGTTTTAAATTTACATCAGGATTAAAGATTCACCTTCTGCCCTTTAAAAAGCTTAGACTTTCTATTGTGTAGTGTTTAACCGTGCAACAGTGTCCACCGATGTAGTCACCAGTCAGTTTTCTTTTGTCTTTGTGGTCCCACTGATGTCACCCTTAACATCAGTTAGAAACGAAAGCTTCATTCTCCTCTCTTCTGTACTCATACCTTTTTTAACCACAGTTTCCTCTGAAGTCACTGGACAAGATCCACAGGATGTGGGTTAGGGAAGACAAGAATCTGGTAGTTAGCACATTGAACATGTTCATAATAGTGGTAATTCAGTTTGCAGATGGGAAAGGAAAACAGAGTTAAATGATGAATTTTTACTCTGTTTTATTTTGGTAACTATAACTCATGTGTGTAACTGATTTTCTTTGAAAACACAGCTCAAATTTTATATGCATATGCTCTCTCCTGCTTCCCTAGACAGTTAGGAAGAGTGTGAAAAATGCAGGCTCTAGGCCTGCTTGAAGAGATCAGATGCATATAAATGACATTGCTGCCATTATACTCCCTTTACTTTTCCCTGTGTCTTTACTCCAGCTCCCATTTAAGAAACGTTGATGTGACTAAGCTTTTATTCAATTATTTAGTGTAGTCATATATTCCCTCTCTTGAGTGAACAGTTGTTATTCCCGATTTATTCCATGTTGACCCAGGGGACAGAGGGATACAAAGATAAAACAGGGAAGGGAAGGGTTTATAGACCATGGCAGAGGGTGGAGTGGTGCTCATATGAGGGCTGATGATTGGCAGTTACACACTGGCCCAGCTATACCTGTTGCTAAACTATTGACAGTACTTCTGTATCAATGGGAAGTTGCTTTTTATTTTTTTATTTTTATTTATTTATTTATTTATTTATTTATTTATTTATTTATTTATTTATTTATTTGGTTTTTCGAGACAGGGTTTCTCTGTGTAGCTTTGCGCCTCTCCTGGAACTTACTTGGTAACCCAGGCTGGCCTCGAACTCACAGAGATCCGCCTGGCTCTGCCTCCTGAGTGCTGGGATTAAAGGCGTATGCCACCACCGCCTGGCTTGGAAGTTGCTTTTTATAGTCTTTGTGAATTCCTACCAACACTTTCCCCCTTTCCCCACCAGAGTTTCTTTTGAGAGCTCCCTAGACTTCCATAAAGGCCACAAATTAAAGACTCTAAAAGTTGTTCATAGGAACCCAGCTCTAGAGCTAGGTTTGCACCCTTTCTGATTGGTCAGTACTTTTGTTATATTGGACTTGATTTTTTTCATGTCAGTTTGATACTTAAAAATACAGAGATATTTTGACATCACCCTATCACAGCATAATTAACAGTACTACTCCTAACTACATCCAAAGGAAAGGTGGAGAATCTGTGCAGCAGGAAAGCATAACAAAGGAGGGCTTCCCCTGGCAGAGATTCAAGGGCAATCTTTCAAAGAAAGAATTGTTGGAGACGAGTGCAGGACAGCTTCACACATCCTGGTCTAGTGCTGTGTCCTCAAGCTGTATCTCCAGCTTAAGAAGAAAGGACTCTTGATCTTTGAAGCCTCTAAGCACTTGGACGAGTTGAGAAGGGTTTGAGGGTCATCATAAGGTTTAACAATTTATTAGCAACATTTCCTGGGTGTTCATCATCCAGAGGCAGTACAATGTAAGGGGGCATTCTTGGGCTGGAGAGATGACTCTATGGTTAGGAGCACTTGTTGCTCTTGCAGAGGACCAGGGTCCCATTCCCAGCACCCACGTGGTGATTCATAACCATCCATCTAATTCCAGGAGCTCTAACAGTCACACACATGGTGCACATACATGCATGTAGGCAAAATATTCATGCACATAAAAATAAGCTTAAAAATAATAAAAAAGATCAGCATTCTGCAGTCAATCTGAGGTGAATCCCAATTTTGTTAGTTACATCTTTATGACTTTAGACAAACAACCTACTACAGTACTTTAATTTATCAACACAAATGTGATATAACACCAAAGCTACACAGAGAAACCCTGTCTCAAGGAAAAAGAAAAGTGACATAACAGAACCTACCTCTTAAGAGTCATTTTGAAATTGAATGAGTTAGAGGCAGGCAAGATGGTTCAGCAGATAAAGGTACTTGTCACACAAGCCTGGGATCTACTGATCCTTAGAACATATGTAAAAGTTGACTCCACAAAGTTGTCCTCTGATTCTTACATGCTATGGAATATGTACCCCCAAACACTTGCATTTTACATGCACATACAACAATAATAAATGAAACTTTGAAATTAAAAGAATATTGAATGAGTTAATAATAAAAAACAGTAGTTGAACTGTCCTAGGAACATCAAAACACAAACTGGGCCTGGAGAGTTGACTCAACAGTTAAGAATATTGGCTGCTCTTCCAGAGGACCAGGGTTCAAGCCCAGCACCCAGTTAGCTAGCATCTGTAACTAGTTCCAGGGGATCTGGCACCCTCTTATGGCCTCTGTGCACACTGCATGCAGACACCTATACACATAAATAAGTAAATAAGTCTTAAAAATTTAAGAAAAGAATAGATAAAACCTTAGATACAGATGTGTCCAATCCACAGCCTGTGGACCATGTGGCACAGGATAACTATGAATGTGGTCCAATACAAAATTGTAAACCAAACATGAGACTTTTTTTTTTTGTGATTCAGTAACATGGTTTTCCAGTGTGAACCTTGTAGATGACAATGTCATTTCACAGTATCAAAAGGTTGGACATGCCTGATGGACTTTTAAACAGTATTTACATTGTTTTTGATTGTTAGGATTTTATAACTTTTCTCATATGATCTTATTGCAGGGAGTATATATAATTAAGTAAGTAGTTCAATGGGAAATTGAGGCAGAAAGATCATGATTGAGGCCATCCTTGTGACAAGACCCTGTTTCTTAAAAAAAAAAAAAAGTAGTTTAAGCAAAAACAAGTTTTGAGTAGCTAGAGCCCTTGGAAGATGTTCTGTTGAAGAACATGATATTACTAATTATGAGATTCTTGGTACTTTATATTTTATGATAAATTTGAATTCTTTAAAATAAGCATATATATTAAAATAATTTTTATAAGCCGGGCGGTGGTGGCGCACGCCTTTAATCCCAGCACTCGGGAGGCAGAGCCAGGCGGATCGCTGTGAGTTCGAGGCCAGCCTGGGCTACCAAGTGAGTTCCAGGAAAGGCGCAAAGCTACACAGAGAAACCCTGTCTCGAAAAACCAAAAAAAAAAAAAAAAAAAAAAAAAATAATTTTTATAAAAAGGAGCTATATAATTTCCTCCTTATTCCCACCCTCATCTCTTACAATCCTGTCCACTTTCCACACAACATTCTTTGAGAAACCGAAGTCTGGTCATGTTACTCTTTATGCCTAAAAATTTTCCAGGAATTTTAAAATAAAGTTTAAAATCCTTTAATGATGAAGAAGATCTGAATAATCCCCATTTGCCTTTCTACGATACCCCTCTCACACCCTTGTTCAAGCTAAAGACTCTAGAACATGTCAGTTCCTTTTATCTTTGCACATACTGTTTGTCTTGCCTGAAAAATTCTGTCCCATGCATATGTCCTGCCTAACTCCAGTTTGTCCTTCTGCAGTTAAAATTGTCCCCCATCAGTGTTCTCCTTACAGCCCGTGTTGTTTCCTCACAGCAAAACAAACAAACAAACCCCCAAACCATGAGTGTAATGCTATAGCCATGTGATTTTTTTTCTTAGTGTTCATCTCCCTTGCTAGTCTGCATGTTTCTTGAGATCAGTGGCTGTATTTTTTTTAATGTGTCAATAAACTATTAACAGTTTTACTATGTGGTCATAAAAATCAGTTACATACCAAAATAGCCACACGGTGGCACTCAAGTTTTAGTCAATTGCTATGGAATTATGGTCCTCAAATTTTATATTTTAGGTTTAAAACTTTATCATAGACTTGATTGTATCAATGTCTATATATTCCAAAATTTGTTAAAGCTGAGAAAATGTCTTTATAATTGTACTTATATAGAGAGACAAGAATTTGTAAGATCACCAGACTTCCTAATATTTTTACCTTGCTAGATTAGTTTCAAAAGTACTTTTTAGAGATTCTTGTGGTACATTTAATTTTGAGCAATAATGAATTGTTTTGTATATCTTTGGTTCCCAAGTTAGAAAATAAAAACTTTTTTGTATCCTTCTTCTGTTCCAGTAAAGCTAATGTCTGTAATAGACATTGTTTGAATGAGTGAATTATTAGTTCCTTTTTCTGGCCTTCTGAATATTTCCCTACCCAAGTGTCTGGAACCTCTCTGAAGTAATATTTGAATTAGTCTCTATCAGAAATGACAGTTCAGTAGTGCAAGCATATAATAACACAGTTTTCTTTTCTCTTGAAGCTTCACATGGCAGTGCTAACAGTAAGTATATACTTGAAGACGAAGTCTCGGCTGTCTCTGCACTGACTTTTGGCAAGTGAAGCATTTAGACAGTAATCTTTCCCTTTCTCCCTTTTTGGGATTTATGGCATTTTAACATTTTAAAAATTGGATGTTTCAGCTGGGCGAGGGCAGCACACACTTTTAATCCCAGCACTCAAGAGGCAGAGGCAGGTGGATCTCTGTGAGTTCAAGATCAGCCTGGTCTACAGAGTGAGTTCCAGGACAGCCAGGGCTACACAGAGAAACTTTGTCTCAAAATACAAAAACAAACAAACAAAAAATTGGGTATATCAGAGCTTTAATAAGATATTATAAATATTCAGTATATTTCTTTGGCATATATATTACATGAGAGAACATATAGAATATACCATACTAACACTTAGAATTTCCATTTTTTTTGGTTATGTAACAGGTTCAAAGGTTTTTTTTTTTCAAATTTTTTAGACTTTTTTGAAGTTTTATATATCCATGGGAATAAATGATGGTAGAAAATTGAGATAGCATTGATAATATATATATATTAATTATTTAAATATTTTACAGCTCAGTCATATTAATTACAGATACTTTACATCAATCTTAAGAAACTTCCACAAAGTTAGTGTTCATAGACAGTCTAAAGATTCTGTGTTCTTGCTGGGTGTGGTGGCACACACTTTTAATCCCAGCACTTGGAGGCAGAGGTAGGTAGATCTTTGTGAGTTAGAGGACAGCCTAGTCTACAGAGCGAGTTCCAGGACTGTCAAGGATACACGGAGAAACCCTGTCTCAAAAAACAACAAACAAAAGATTCAGTGTTCAATATAAGAGTTAATCCCATCTCTAGCTTGAAATATGCCCAGGTAATACTCAGTTAACAGAGCACAAATTGAACTCTTTACATAGACAGTATTTTCAATGAGCAGTAATCTAGTAAATTTTGGATATTAAGTGTTCTGTATTTTCCCTTAAACAGCTGTACACAAATCCTAAGGAACCTGAGGTAAGATGGTAGTGTATAGATGGTAATGTATGTATACTATATATAAGTATGTTTATCTGAGTTGAGGCTGTAGATTGTTACTGGACTACTGCATGAACAGAGCAATTCATCGTGAACTTTATATTTTATTATAAGTGGAATCAGTTTTATGTGATTTTTTAGAAACTATGGGCCGGGTGGTGGTGGTTGCGCATGTCTTTAATCCCAGCACTTGAAATGCAGAGGCAGGCGAATCTCTGTGAGTTCGAGGCCAGCCTTGTCTACAGCATGAGTTCCAGGACAGGCTCCAAAGCTACAGAGAAACCCTGTCTTGAAAAAACAAACAAAAAAAAAGAAACAAACAAACAAAAAACTATGTAAGAATGTTAGAAAAAAGAAAAACAACATTGATTGGAGCTAAGGCTATCCTGTAACATGTCAACATTAGTCATAAATGTGTAGGAGCCACACACATTTTTATTATTATTATTTAGTTATTTCTTTTTGTGATCTTTTGGAAAAAGAAAAGATACAGCATTATTCTGAGCTCTTTACCATCTGAATTCTCCCTGTTGATATTTTTACTGACTTTTGAGAACATTAGTTCTTATTATTATTTTTTTTTTTTTTTGGTTTTTCGAGACAGGGTTTCTCTGTGCAGCTTTGTGCCTTTCCTGGAACTCACTTGGTAGCCCAGACTGGCCTCGAACTCACAGAGATCCGCCTGGCTCTGCCTCCCGAGTGCTGGGATTAAAGGCGTGCGCCACCACTGCCCAGCTTTCTTTTGTTTTTTTTAAGACAGGGTTTCTCCACATAGCAGTTCTGGCTGTCCTGGGACTTCCTTTGTAGACCAGGCTGGCCTCAAACTCACAGAGATCTGCCTGCCTCTGCCTCCCAGGTGGGATTAAGTTGTGCACCTCCACACTAGGCTTGAGACCTTTAGTTCTTTACTCCTATCTAAATTTGGATTCCTCAGCTTGCTTAGTGCAGCCTGCACTTTGCTGCTCTGCTGTGGTATTCAAGTCTTTGGTGAAGCCTCTTTGGCTCACTGTCTGTACTAACTTGTGTCTTTTTTAAAGTTCCTTCCCAGCAGAGCCCCACAGTTTAATCCTCTCAGTTGATTCATATATTTCCTAAGAGGACTAGGAGTTTTTGAAGATAAGGGTGAGATTTTCTACTTGGCAGAGTAAATCAGACGTAATAGCTACTTGTGCCGCTTTCATGGCTTTTGTATCTGTGACACAGAGATGGAGTGAGAAGCCTTTTGGTTTTTTATTCTGTTTTGTCTCTCTCCTAGCTCTCTTTTCTTTTTTCCCCCTTGCTTTGAATTTTGTTTTGTTTTTTTTCTGAGACAAGGTTTCTCTGACTGTCCTGGCACTCACTATGTAGACCAGGCTGGCCTTGATCTCATAGAGATCCACCTGCCTCTGCCTTCCAAGTGCTGGGATTAAAAATGTATGCCACTACCTACTGCCCGGCTCTGATTTGTGTTTTCAGAAACTCTTGGCTAGTAAACAGAGAATAAAGATCACACGGATTTGTGATTCACTCACTTTAGAGATAGACCTGAGAAGTCTCTCTAGTGGATTAGAATGTGGAGTGAGAAGTAGTCTGAACATGTTTGAGGTTGTCAAGAATTATACTTTTAATAATGATTCTTTCAATTTGTATGCATTTGTGTCTACTTGTCTGTATGTGCATCATGTGTGTGCAGTGCCCTTAGACTCCAGCAGTGGGTGTCAGGGCCCCTGGAACTGAGTTCCAGGCAGTTTTGAGCCTCCTGATGCAGGTGCTGGGAATTGAACCCAGCTCCTCTATAAGAGTAATAAGTGTTCTTAACCTAAACCGTCTCTCCACCCTCAGGATTAATATCTTTGTAAAACAGTTATGTATCTCTACAGTAAAACAATCAGTTTAGGAATCAAATAATAAAAAATTGCCAACTACTTAAAGATCTCTTTTATTTACAAAATACATTCTCATAGTATTAACAGGCTAGGGTTGACCAGACACGTGAGCAGGCAAGAAGAATAGGCATTGTTTGCTTGACAATTATACTTATCACTGGCTAAGAGGACACTGTGTATCTAGCCTATTTGGAGGGAACCTGTTGCTTTTAGGCACCTGCAGCCATCTCTAATCTGACCCATCTCTTCTATTGTATTCACAAAGCAGCCTTCTGAGCTTGGTCTGATTTTTTTTTTCAAATGGGCTGACCAGTTATAAAAGCAATTCTCTTTTAAAATTAACTTATTACAATCAGTCTTTTAGGTTCAATATTTTCCCAGGCTCTGCTCACCTGTGATTAAGTTATATGCTAAAGTATAAGATCAGCAGATCTGTGAGACCAAATCTTGGAGAAAGGTAACAGGAACACTAAAGCAGTTCTTGATGACTCTAACATCCTCAGTTCCACATTGTCAAGGATTTATTTTGAACCAGATGGATGAAGGTTATGTTCTGTGTTCTGATATCAACTTATACTCAATCTGCCTCTAGCACCTTCAGCTTTGTCTACAAACTATATAATTTATCTGGGCAAAACATTTATTTTTAAGCAGAAGTCTTTTCAGTTAGCTTGTGTGTGTGTGTGTGTGTGTGTGTGTGTGTGTGTGTGTGTGTGTGTGTGTGTGCAGGTGTGAGTGGCAAGTGTGTGGAGATCAGAGGACAACTTTCAGGAGTCAGTTGTTCTTCCACTGTGGGTCCCTGGGATAAAACTTGGGTCTCAGGCTTACTGGAAGCACTTTGAACCTCTGAGCCATATCACTAGTTTTTGGGGTTTTTTGGTTTTTTTTTTTTTTGCTTTTTGTTTTTTAGCATCAGTTTGTATTTATTTCATAGAAACTTATAATTTTCAGTGGAATATATATTACATGTTAATTAAAAAATTTTCAGTATGTATACTTTCTTTTATATATATATTATTTTAATTTTTTTCATTTTACATACCAACCACAGATCCCCCTCCCTCCCCTCCTACTTCTCACCTCCTCCCCACCCTACCCTCATCCACTCCTTAGGATAAGGCCTCCCTTGGGGAGTCAACAAGGTCTGGCACATCAAGTTGAGGCAGGCCCAAGCCCCTCCCCCCTGCATCAAGGCTGAGCAAGGTATCCCACTATAGGGAGTGGGCTCCAAAAAGCCAGGTTTATATTCAATACTATATGTCTCTTATGAGAAAATTTGTTCTCTGTGTTCTACCACACCCTTACCAGTTATGAGAGCAGATAGCAGTAATAGTTTTTAGTGCAGGAAATAAGACTTGATGCCATAGACCATAGTTCCTTTTCCCATTTTTTAATGTTGCCATTCACTCCTTCCCTAAATTACCACAGTGCTCGCTCGCTCTCTCTCTCTCTCTCTACCTCTCCTCTCCTCTCCCTTTCTCCTTCCTTCCTCCTTTCTTTTTTTCTCTTCTATTTATTTATTTGTTTGTTTGTTTATTTGGGACAGGGTCTCTCTATGTCGCCCTCGCTGTCCTGGAACAAGCTGTGTGGCCCAAGTTGGCCCCAAACTCACAGAGATCCGCTTGCCTCTGCCTCCCAGGTGCTGGGATTAAAGGTGTGCACCACCACACCTGGTCCTTCCCTGTCTGTCATAATCACTGTTCTTTTGATGTGAAGCAACACCCTGTCTAAGGCAACTCTCATAAGAAAAAGCATTTAATTGGGGCTTACTTATAGTTTCAGAGGTTTAGTCTTGCTATCATCATGGTGAGGTGCATGTCAGAAGGCAGGCAGATGCTGGAGCAGTATTGATAGCAACATCCTGACCTGTAGGCCATAAAGGAGTTGGGGGAGACAGACACACAGATACCGGGCCTGGTGTCACCAGTGACACACTTCTTCCAACAAGGTCACACCTCCTAACACTTCTCATCCTTCCAGATACTTCCACTTCTTCCCTGGTGACTAAGCATTCAGACCTATGAGCCTATGAGGACCATTCTCATACAAGCCACCACACTGTCTGTATTCTTAAGGCGTACAGGTGATCAGGTCCTGGCATCACTGACCTATTTAAACCTTCAATAGACTTCAGTGAACTTAGAAAAAAATTCAAAATCCTTACTACTGTCAACAAAGTTGCACAACCACACCTCTCATTTCCAGCTAGTTGGCTTCTATTTGGATTCTAAAAAATACATTCCATCTCAACTAAGAGCTTTTGCATTACTATTCTGTCTCCCCAAGGCACTGCCCCACAGGCTTGTATGTGACTGGCCTTTCTTGAGGCTCATCTCAAAATATCATATCTTCAGGCAAGTCTTCCTTGACCCCTCTAAATCTAGTTCATCTTTCTCTCTACTATGTCCTTCCTACCATAGCATCTGCTTTATATTGTTCATGGCATCCATTTTATCTGAAATTATCTTTTTTTGTTGTTGTTGTTGACTAGCTAGAATCTTTGTAGAGTCTGTGGAAAAAGAAGGAATCTTTTCTGCCTTGTTCACCTTCTAGCTCAAAGTAGACATTTGATAAAACATTCATTACATGAATGAATGATTCCTCAACTGGTAAAATGTAATGGAAATATTTGCTGCCTAACTTATTTTTATCTGAGAGGAGGGAGATTAAGTTATCATTATACCTGGAACTACTATTCCTGGATACAGTAATACTCTGAGACAAACGTACAGAGGAAGCGTAGGGGATAGTCAATGAAATGTTCCTTTTTATAAGGTAAAAGTCCGGTTGTGTTTCAAAATTAACTTCTTTCTCTGTTCTCTTTGGTTTTTCTAGAAAGTGACTGAGATATACCAATTCAAATTCAAATACACAAAAAATGGAACCACTATGGACTTTGACAGGTAGATTCTAATTGTTTAGTCAACACAAGAAATGTATAGGAGTGAAGTAAATATAAGCTTTCATATGGCCAGAGGAAAGTCTTAAATCTTTTTGTCATTTTCTTATAAGCCCTAGAATACCCCACTATTATGAGTAGAAATTATAATAATTGTTTTAATGTCTGAAGTCTATACACTAAGCTGGTAGGAGTTGAGGCAATGGTGGATGTCATGGCTCTTAAAATTATATTAATAAAGGGGCTGGAAAGATGGCTCAGTGGTTAAGAAAGTACTCTTCCAGAGGCCCTGAGTTTGATTATAAGCACCTACATCATGTAGCTTACAGCTGTCTATAACTCCAGCTCTAGGGGAATCATGCCTCTGAGGACACCTGCACTCATGTGCACATACCCACATGCACACACACCTACACATAACTAAAAATAGTAATAAATATTGAAAAACAAACAAGATTTAACTAAAAATATATTAATAAGGCTGTCAACATGATGTTGGGTAAAGAACCCATATGACTGTCTCTGGCTCTTATTCCAGTGGCACTGTTGGTATCAATCTGTTGGCTTTGTTGATCCTTTTCATCTTCAATACAGGCAGATTGAGCCTGAGGGAAATGAAACTCCTGGATTATTTGCCTACATATATAAATACTGTCATCTGCTTATCCATACACATACCATTTTCTGTGTGTCACTCTTTGGGAAACTCATATGCACTGTGGGTTTTTTGTTTGTTTGTTTGTTTGTTTTTGTTTTTTGAGACAAGGTTTCTCTGTGTAGTTTTTGGAGTCTGTCCTGGAACTTGCTTTGTAGATCAGGCTGGCTTTGAACTTACAGAGAGATCCACCTGCCTGTGCCTCCTAAGTGCGAATTTTCTTTTTCTTTCTTTCTTTCTTTCTTTCTTTCTTTCTTTCTTTCTTTCTTTCTTTCTTTCTTTCTTTCTTTCTTTCTTTCTTTTTCTTTTTTCTTTCTTTTTTTTTTTTTGGTTTTTTGAGACACGGTTTCTCCATGTAGTTTTGGTACCTATCCTGGATCTCGTTCAGTAGACCAGGCTGGCCTCGAACTCACAGAGATCCCGAGTGCTGGGATTAAAGTCGTGCACCACTGCCGCCCAGTGCTGCACTGTGTTTTCCTATCAAGTCTTAAAATGTGTTTTAGATACAAAACAGGTCAAAGAGCAAAACCAAGGAAGACCCTCATGCACATAGAAATGTGTAACATTCTTCTCCCGAAGCTTTTGGCTTCAGACCAGCCAACAGGCATGGAGAACTAAGGACTGCTGATGAAATGGAATAGAATTAGATGAAATGGATATTGTAAAAAGTCTGGTAGAAAAGCTTCAAATAGGGGAGATAAATACCCTTAAAGGAACAATTCTGAAGAGAAATTTGGCAAAAATGCTCCCTTTTCTCTAGTTCTCCTGGGGAGCTTGAGGATTTCTCTCCAATGCTGTCTTAGTTAGGGTTTCTATTGCTAAAATGTCCACTTAATATATGTTTACTTTGTGATTTCTCACGGCCTTTAAAAATCAGGGAAAGACCTGACAGTTTAATTACTTGGGATGATTTTTTTCATTGCTTAGTGCCACTATGTTCAAGGTACTGCAAATAAATTGCAGTTGTAGCTCGTCCTTGAAGGCATTCAAATCTGAGATGAATTGGGAATAAAACTTTGGAGGGAAATGAAAATTTTGAATTAGAAGATAATTAGCCCAATTCTTTTATTCATTTATTAATTCAGCAAATATTTATTGGGTAGCTAGAGACCAAACCTAGTACTGTGGAGATGAAAGAGTTACCCATTTATAGTCTATATGGGGACACTGAGGGGAAGGTGAAGAGTATAGGGAAGACTTCCTTGAAAAGATGTGATGCCATATGAGCTAGGTAGGTGCTACGGGAGCATCGGAAGAGAAACAGAGAGCTCAGTACAGCTGAAGAGCATTTGCAAATGCATGTGGGAGGTGAAAGAATAATTAGTTGTATATACACCATTCTTTTATTTGATTGAAAGGCGATGGATATAATAGCAGAGTTTTAAGCAATAAGGTGACATGAATAGACCTTCCTATTGGAAGTCTTAATTTATGGAGAATGTCTTACAGTGCAGACAAAAAGAATAGATGCTTTGGTAATCCATGCAAGAATGAGGAGGGGATCTCTTTGAGAGACAATCATATGGTAGATTATTAGATAATAAGTCGAGCTAGTGACTGATTTCATGCTTGGAGAGCTGCAGAAATGTCCATAAGCTTATCTCACAAATGGGCTAACTGACCTAGAATGTGTGCAAATGATTTGACCGAGGTCATTCAGTTGGTTAACAGTACAGCTGATATTAGATGATATTAGATGCTAGGTCACCTAATTACAAGTCCATTGTTCTCATTATTATGAGGTGTGGTTATTTGAAAGCCAAAATTTTTAAATGACCATATTTAAAATGCTTTAGGGGTATTTGTTATTCAGAAATCCTTTGCATATACATTACAGAAAGTACTATCATTCCTTTAAGTTACCTCTTAAAATTTGTCTACAAAATATCTTCATGTTTAACTTATTAGATGACATAGCCAATAGTTGTATTGTTTTGGAGTATATTGTGAATATTATATATGATTGAAAAGTGCCACTTTTCTGTGGTTATAGTAGTAGTACAAGCTTTGAAAGTGGGACAAACAGTGAAGATATTAAGAAAGCCTGTTCCCTACTGATCCGTCAATTGTATATACTGATGCAGAACCTTGGACCCCTTCCTAATGATGTTATACTTACCATGAAACTCCATTATTATAATTCAGGTAGGTAGAGACCTTTGGTCAGATTCTTTCTTTCTGTGTGTGTGTGTGTGTGTGTGTGTGTGTGTGTGTGTGTGTGTGTGTGTGTGTGTTTTCGTGACAGGGTTTCTCTTTGTAACAGTCCTAGCTGTCCTGGAACTAGCTCTGTAGACCAGGCTGGCCTCAAACTCACAGAGATCCGCCTGCCTCTGCAGTGCTGGGATTAAAGGCATTCACCACCACTGCCCAGCCAAATCCTTTTTAAGTGCTCAAGTGATGCTGTATATAATTAGAAGGATTTTATAAGCATCTGAAAGATCTTTGTTACTAGATATGAAGTATTGTCACTTACTCTATTGAAACTTAATTTGCAATACTTTTTTTGTCCTTTCTGCAGTGACCCCATATGATTACCAACCTCCTGGTTTTAAAGAAGGCGTGAACTCACATTTCCTACTGTTTGATGGGGAGCCTGTGAGCCTTCGAATGGGTTCAGTCTCCTCTGGCTTTCACAGCATGAAAGTAAAAGTCACAACTGAGGCCACGAGGATGCTTGATGGGGACAACAGTCCCGTTCCGGAGAATGGCACTACTGAGATAGCCCATCAGGGTCTTGACTGTGATGAGGAAGAAGAGGACAGCAGCAACCAAGTAAGGCCAGGTTTTAGTGGCCCTTCATTGCTTCCCTTAAACACAGTTGACATTTCAGTGTGTATTCAGGTCATGTCACAGTAACAGAGTCCAGTGGAGCATGCCAGGTATGAAAACGGAAACAAAACTACCCTCTGACGTCAAGGGCTTTTTAGTAAAAAACTACAGTCTTCTAGAAGGAAATACATGTTGTTAGTCTGCCAATGATAAAATCCCAATGCACTTTATTTTTATTAAAGGTACTTATATATTTGTTTTTTTCACATGAAAGTAATATATTTTTAGTGCTTAAAAATATTCTAAGTATCTGATGTGTTCATACTCAATAGAAGTATACATTAAATCTTGATTACTGTAGTAACTTGGCACGAGGGGGTTAGGGAAGAAAAATTTTACATATCAACCTGAATCAGAGAAAAAAAAAATAAAGAATGAAACCAACTTCCATGACAAGCATTGCAGTTTGATCAGTGGGGAGAGCTGAGGGATTGGTAGGCTTGCAGCCAGTGGGTCTGATAGAGCTTAGAGCCCTTGACTTTCCTCGTTTCTGTAGAGAATTAAAGCTGAGGACTTAGCAGTTGTCTGAATAATAATGTTTGCTGTGTGCTGACATTGTAGTTAAAGGATTCTGAAACAAAAATATTTTCAGGCTGTTTAGCGGGAAGGGATACTATAAAAATAATTCAGGAAGTATTTTAAAATTAGGATAACTTTTTTGTTTTTTGCCTTAGAATTCTACTTTAAAAAGATGACTATAGGGGCTGTAGAGATGACTCAACAGTTAAGAGCACTGATTGCTCTTCCAGAGGACCCAGGTTCAATTCTTAGCACCAACATGGCAGCTCACAACTGTCTGTAATTCCAGTTCCAGGGGATCTGACACCCTGTTCTGGCCTCTGTGGATACCAGGCATGCACATGCTGAACAGACATACATGCAGGTGAAACACCAATATATAGAATAGTAATAATATTAATAATTACAGAAAAATTTATGGATGACTATGCTGGGTAGCTTCTAAAAGTACCTTCCAAATATTTAACTCTGTGTTGTGTTTAGTATATTTAAAGGGAGGTCCTAATCTCAACTCAATTAATATGACAAATGTTACCAAACAGAGTTTTTGTCTTTTTTTTTTTTTAAGTTTTTTCACAGTGTCAGGCATAAAAATAACTAGATTCTGGTGCAATTTTTTCCTTTTGATTCTATGCCAAGGGATATATAGCTAACATGTAAAGGTTAATAATAATAATAACAATAGCAACAACAATAATAATGGTTAAGAAAAGAATGAGAACGTTTTAGATTTTTAGTTTTAAGAAAAAATTTAGAACTGAGTATGATCGCATACGCCTTTAATTTCAGTACTTGGGAGGCAGAGACAGGAGGATGTCTATGAATTCAAGGCCAGCCTGGTCTACATAGTGAGTTCCATGACAGCCAAGGCTAAATAGAGAAACCTTGTCTCAAAAAAAAAAAAGTGAGAAGGAAGAAAGAAAATTTTTAAAGGGACTGGAGAAGTGGCTCAGTGGTTAAGAGCTCATATCATACGGCTCTCCCAGAAGACCTGAGTTTCATTTCCAGCATCCGTATTTGGTAGTTTACAGCCACCCATAACTTCAACTTCAGGGGACATCTGTCACCTCTAGCCTCCATGGGTATGTGCATATGAGTGCATATCCTTTATATGTGTGTATGAATGTGAATACTTTATAAAGGATACAGATAATTATAAATGAATGAATGAATACATAAATAAATTGAAAGGCAAGCATGGATCTACATGCCTCCAAACCTTAGGGATAAAGGCAGGAATAACAGAAGTTAAGGCCAGATGTTTGAGGTCAACCTGGACTATCTGAGACCATGTTTCAGAAAGCCAAAAGGAAAAAAAATAAATTAGATTATCTTTTTCTTTGCCAATAAATGTAAGCAGGACAACCTGACAGGGGAAACTGTGTTTACAAGGATCTGGACTTTGTGGTAAACTTGGTTGATGCCATTCCTCTCTTAGTGATCCAGTTATTTGAGAGAATTTAGTAAGTTAAGTCCTACTGACATTTTCCCACTAAATAGAAATATTGTTTTTCTTCCGAGAAGGTATTCACATTCATACACACATTCACACAATACATGGAACCTTTACCTTGAAACCAACAAAAGTATTTTTGAGAAAAATTCTATGTAGTTCTGACAGTTCCTCCTTGTAATTTTACCCTCTATGAGACTAAGTCTATGTAAACATATATAGAAGTAACCACACTCAAGTACTCTGAGATTTCTATCTTTTGCTTGACTGTCAAAAATGTGATCTCATTATTGTGGGTATTTCTTTTATTTCCAATGCTGTATCCTACTCTTCTTGTTTGTTCAGAGTTTTGTTTTTTATTTTTGTTGTTACTGAGACAGAATCTTGCTATGTAGCCCTGATTGACCTGGAGCTTGCTCTATGGACCAGGTTGACCTAGAACTCAAGGAAATCTGTCTGCTTTTGCTTCTCTATGCTGGAATTAAGTGTTTGTACCATTACACTCAGATTGGCTGGCCCTTGTTTTTGTTTTTTGAGACAGAATCTGTGTTGTCCAAGCTAATCTCAGTTTCCTAACTTCAAGTGATCCCTGGGTCTATGGGAACAGCCTCTCACATACTAGAACCAGAAATAGGTGCCATTAAGCCTGGCTAGTATCCTACTAATTTTTCCCTTTTTGGGGGTGGGGGTGGGGCAAGTCTCTCTTGTCTAGATATTGTAGTCTGGCTGGCCTGGAACTCATAAAGATCCACTTGCCTCTGCCTCCTGCGTGCTGGGATTAAAGGTGTGTGCTACTTTATATGCACACTTCCTGGTACAAATGCAAAAGAGTGTCTATAGGGAATATACTAGTTTTAGGCTTTGTCTTAGTCACTGTTCTATGACATCTCTCTGTGAAGAGACAGCTTATAAAAGAAAACATTTAATTGGGGGTTTACTTAAGAGTTCCTGAAGTTTAGTCCATTATCATCATGGCAAGAAGCATGGTGGCATGCAGACAGACACTGGAACAGTTATCTTGAGAGCTACATCCTGATCCATAGAGAGACAGAGAGAGAGAGAGAGACAGAGACAGACAGATAGACAGACAGACAGACAGACTGAGCCTTGAATGGGCGTTTGAAACCTCAAAACCTATCCCCAGTGACACACTTCTTCCAACAAGTCCACACTTTTTTTTTTTGGTTTTTTGAGACAGGATTTCTCTGTGTAGTTTTATAGCCTGTCCTGGATCTCACTCTGTAGCCCAGGCTGGCCTCGAACTCACAGAGATCTGCCTGCCTCTACCTTCCTAGTGCTGGATTAAAGCATGTGCCACCACTGCCCAACAAGGGCACACCTTCTAATTGGTCTAATTCTTCTCAAATAATGCCACTCCCTGATGTATAAGCATACAAATATATGAGCCTGTGGGGGTCATTCTTATTCAAACTACCACAGGCTTGCACATTTTGCAACTTCGTTAGAAAGCACAAAATAGCCCATATTTATTGTACCAGCAGTGGAAGTGAGATCTTGTATTCTTTTTGTTTTGTTTGTTTTGAGACAGGGTTTCTCCGTGTAGTTTTGGTGCCTGTCCTGGATCTCACTCTGTAGACCAGGCTGGCCTTGAACTCACAGCGATCTGCCTGGCTCTGCCTCCTGAGTGCTGGGATTAAAGGTGTGTACCACCGACTCCTGGCTGAGATCTCGTATTCTTGCAAATACTTATTATTGCTTGAGTTTATGTTTTCTGTAGTCTGCTTAACATGCTAACACTGCATGATTTTAGTGTATTTTCTTGTTGCTGATGCTTGAACATCTTTTCATTAGTCACTCTGACTTTCTGGTGCATTCAGTTATCTTTGTTCATTGATGCAAAAATATTTTGGGGGCTGGAGTGATAGCTTAGTGGCTAACAGTGTGTACTGCTCTTCCAGAGTACCTACACTGAGTTCCTAGCACCCATGTCAGGAGGCTCACAAATGCCTGTAACTCTAGCTCCAGAGGGACCCATTTTCTAGCCTTTGAGGGCACCTGTATTCATGTATGCATGCACACACACAGATATATATATATATATATATATCTACATATATATCTACATATATATCTACATATATATCTACATATATATCTATCTATATATATTTGAAGATAATTAAAAGAAAAAATCATTCTTTTTTACTTATTTATGTTGTAATAATTTGTTTATGTTTGTGGCTTGTCTTCACATTTTCTTTAACAGGTCTTTTGGGAAAGAAAAACTGTTCATTTAATGTAGTCTAGTCTTTTCTTCTGATATTCTTAAGAACCCCTTCTCTATTTAAGGTGATTAATAATAATCATATATATATTATTTTGGTTTTTCGAGACAGGGTTTCTCTGTGTAGTTTTGGAGCCTATCCTAGATCTCACTCTGTAGCCCAGGCTGGCCTAGAACTCACAGAGATCCGCCTGGCTCTGCCTCCTGAGTGCTGGGATTAAAGGCGTGCGCCACCACTGCTGGGCATATATCTAGTTTTTAAAAGTTTATATCATTTATGATATGAGATAGGTCAGACCCCTTAACAGTTTAAGTATTATATACATGCAAAAAATATATGTCTCAGTAAATACCCACAAACTGAACAGTTGGGTTGGGACATGGGTGAGGCAAGCAAGATGCCTAGAAAGGCAGCCATGCTTACCACTATACTACCAACATAAGCAAGATGCCCAGGGTGGATGGATGCCCTCAAGTGCCAAGAGTGAGAGCCTCCTTAAATTATGCTTTCTGGATTCTTGCTGGTCACACCATGTCTTGGTCCTACTGAATAATCTGATAATAACATCAGTCAGATCAAGAAGTAGGGTACTACAACCTGCTTAGAAACAGTTTTAACCTCACAGTAACTACTCTAGTTAACAAGAACATTGCTATCCTTTCTCCTATTAGCATATATTTGTTCATTCTATTGCTGGTATACATTTGGATGTGCTCCAACTTGGG